AAATTGATATTTCTAAAATTTTGTTTCACGATATCTAAATTGTTTTTATTCATGTGTGCAGTGTAAGTAGAATTTAAAGTAATTAACGTTAATCACAGAGAAGCAAGTGTTTGAAACAAACATTAAATTGTTTAGTAGTGTATATTAGTCTTTTAAATATAAAATGTCATTCTGTAAAATGTCCTACAATTGATAGTTCCAAAGCATTGACGTTTGTAGCTAAGTCACAAATTGCTTATATTAAATAATGTAACTTTAAATTTAAAAAAAAAACACACGAAATACAACGAATGTATTAATATAAAAATTAAACGTTTTTCGTAAAAGAATTATTGTTTTCTTTATTAATTGTGTTGTCGGAGATCGATAATGATGCTGCTTAATGTCGAACAGCATTTCGACTACGCAAAATTTATAAAGGCCAAGCGTAAGCGATGCAAATTCTCGTATTCCTTCGGCCGTATGTTGTCTTTGATTTGTCACACTAAACATTCAGCACAAGAGTCAAAATCTATCTGTTCGACAATTAAAATAAAATTTATCCAAGCTTTCGAAATATTTTAAACACGAGTTTTCTGATACAACAATATTGTTAAATTTTTGATATTTTTCAATATAAATACTTTTAATCGTTATCAAATATCATTTTCATACAGATACACGAACCAATCTAGAATATTTTGTGAGATTTTTATGTTTAAATCCGGACTAATGAAATTAGTTCTTATTTATCTTGGACACTAGGAAAAGAATTGCAAATTGACGACGTTAGAGAAATACACTTTGCTTGATATGTTATATCGCGCAGTAAGTAAGAAACTGAATACTGGCATGAAAGCTCCTCTTTTAGAGTGTTTGTAAAAAGATTGAAGTTTTCATAATACTGTATACAGTTTTCAATATTCCGAAATATTTTTCAATGTGTCTTTACATATTAATTGTTGTTAGTATTTTGCTTACGTAAAAAAATATTTTACTTCTGTTTCTGTCAGAATGTTAGTTACTCGATTCTAAGTAATGCGTAGATTAGAATTTTAAAGTAAACTTACCTGATAATTATTAAAGTAAAAGTTATTACCCGACGGCAAGTAACTTCCAGCAAATAAATAATCGCAATCTGGAAATAATCGTTATATGAATATTATTAATTTTTTTAACACAATTAAAATATAATGATTTTTTTTAATGTTTGAATAAATTATAACAAGTCTTTCAGTAGCGTTAAAAGACGTGTAAAATGAATTTGTATTAAAATGTCTTATATTTTCTGATGTTGTCTGACTTTACATGTTGGATAAGTAAGAACATGGTGAATTATTATTTGTACAAAATCTGTTGAACCTTCGAAATGTCACAAACATAATTAAATATCATTAATAACATTTAGAAATATTTCGTTAATTTTTTCTCAATTTCTTGTGTGTTTAGTTTTTGCAGTTAAGAATTTCTCTTAACGCAGTTATTAAGTAATAAATAAATAACTTAACATACTTAAGTTTGAAAGTATTATCTGTGCGTAACACATTTACTTGGTCGTAATTCTTATTTGCTTAGTGGCTTGTCTGGCTTATAAAATTTGGGCTAGGAAATTCTGTTTTATTCTATTTGTATGCGTTACTTTACTTTGAAAACAGCAAAATAAATTATTGACAATTAATTGTTATTAATGGCATTGTCTTATTTTTACTTTTAATCTTTTCTATTTAGCCGGGAAAATATTACAGCGGTGGTTATTACAATTTACTGTATAATATTTTCGGGTTATTTAAACGTCTCGATAAAATTTATTATATATTTCGCATTTTTTATTCATTACGACATTATATAAAGACTTAATATGATTTTACGTTGAATAAGCGTAAATTAACTTACTTAAATAACTCATAATGAATAAAAATATTCGCATTAGCGAAATTCGCATCGAAACTCTTCGACAATCAAATCTCAACAATCGTTAATATTATATTATTAACGCGTATCGCCTACGTAACAATAGAAAACGTAAATACGTCACGCTAACAAAATTATGCAATTTTCACAAATAAAATATTAGTTTTTATCTACCTTTAGCTTGTGAGATGCAGATACAACAGGTAATAGGCGAATCTTTAATTCATTAAAATACCCATAAATCTATAATTCATAATCTAAATATATAAAATTACTTGTCCTGACTAACTTAGTCACTGATTCATCATCTCCCAGAGCAAACCGCTGAACCTAAAGAAGTGAAATTTGGTACACAGGGTATGTCATGGGAATGCACAGTAAGAACGAATTTTTCGAAATTCCCCAGCGAGGGGAGAAGGAGAGCATAAGACTTAACCTGAAGAACGACTTCTGAAATTAATTCCATACTTTCCTTTAAATTGATAACATTTCAGATATTGTTATAAATATTTTCATGTTTCGATTTTTTAACTAAATGTTCGAACTGTTTAAATTCGAATTTGTTATTGCATATAGGTTCGATTATAGAACGATTGTAAACGTTCCAGAAAATTGATCAAATTGAAAACAGTTCGTTTGAGTCTCGGCAATTTTTATTATTTTCGGCGGTAGGTGTTATATAACAATTACTATGGTTGTTGAAATACTAAATATAAATGGGGTTTGCTTGCAAAGCCTTTGCGGGAGAAGTCGCAGGTAACAGCTAGTTACATATAAAAAAAACTTTTCTCGGAAATTAAGTGAGACATTGAGTAACATGTAAAAAGAGTTGCAGTACCGTATGAAACTGCTATAATAAATAACGCCATTTTTATGATTGTATTCATCTCTGTGAATAGTGCAGCACAAGTACAAAAATAAGTCATGTAAATACCCTTGCCTTAAGTAATTGGAATGATGTATTCACGAATGCCGTTAAATTATTCAATTTGATACACGAGTTCGGTGTGTTCATGAATTAAATGATTCAAACTCGATATTGAAATTTTTCATTTCATTTGAATTTCGAAGAAATTTTCGAATAAACGGCAAAACATCTTTTGTACAACCCGACCAGTGATGGTAATTTGCGAAAAGACTAGCAATGACTGTTACGTCTGTAATTAATGACACAAATAAGGTAGTCACTACCAATGCAGAGACAAGTGAAGTTTTAATAGGCAAGGAAAGCACGCGTGACATGGAAAAGTTTTTCTCCAGCTGCGAAGTTTTCAACAGAAAAATCAACGGAAATACAGTTATCAGTATCTCCAGCTCCTCCGTGCTTCAATATTTTTAATTATCCTTTCGAACTAAGCTAAACTGACTTTTTGGTGTTCGATGTATCTGCTAACGGTATAAAGAAGCACACGGATAATCTGTGTAACGAAAAAAATATACCGGCAGAGGAAACAAAGTGTGTCATCGCCTATGTAGATTATGCTATATATTTGAAAAAGAACAATAGTAGTTCAAGTTCTTCTTACGCAAAGAACGGTTATTTAGAAAGATTAACAAAATATAGTAGGGTGAAGGCAAATGCTTTTCTGTTTACATCAGAAAATCTGATTACGAGACTGCAATTGAAAAATTTGAAACGTTTGAAACTCAAGATGACACAGAAGAAATGTTTTGTGTATATTTTTCATAGTGTATGCGTATTTTTCATGTGATACCTGAATACCTGTCATTATATAAATAAATATATTAAAGTTTTATAAATTATAAAACATCGCACGACAAAGTCGCGCGATATCGCTTTGTCACGAGTGCTAATGATACGACCTTATATCTTCAAAACAAAGTCACGGACCCCCATTTTTCATTGCATTCATGGATTCCGCATTGCAATGAATGGAAAATGACAAAGTTTAATCAAAATCTATCCAAATGGATNATATCATTAATAACATTCAGAAATATTTCGTCAATCTTCTCTCAATTTCTTGTGTGTTTAGTTTTTGCAGTTAAGAAAATATCTTAATGCAGTTTCTAGGTAATAAATAAATATACTTAAGTTTGAAAGTATTATCGGTGCGTAACACATTTACTTGGTCTTAGTTCTTATTTGCTTAGTGTCTGGTGTGGCTTATAAAATTTGCGCTAGGAGATTCTGTTTTATTTTACTTGTATGCGTTACTTTACTTTGAAAATAGCAGAATTAAATTACTTAGAATTAATTGTTATTAATGGCATCGACTTATTTTTACTTCTAATCGTTTTTATTTAGCCCAGAGAATGCAACAGCGGTGGTTATTACAATTTACTGTATAAAATTTGCGGTTTTTTAAACGTTTTGGAAAATTTTATTATTAATTCTGTAATTTTTATTTATTACGACATTATATAAAGACTGAATATGATTTTACGTTAAATAAACATAAATTAACTTACTTAAATAACTCATAATGAAGAAAAATATTCGCATTCGCAAAATTCGCATCGAAACTCTTCGACAATCAAATCTCAACAATCGTCAATATTATATTATTAACGCGTATCGCCAACGTAACAATAGAAAACGTAAATACGTCACGCTAACAAACTTATGCAATTTTCACGAATAAAATATTAGTTTTTACCTTTAGCTTGTGAGATGCAGATACAACGGGTAATAGGCGAATCTTTAATGAATCATTAAAATACCCATAAATCTATAATTCATAATCTAAATATATAAAATTACTTGTCCTGACTAATTTAGTCACTGATTCATCATCGCCCAGAGCAAACCGCTGAACCTAAAGAAGTGAAGTTTGGTACACAGTTAGAGTACGTCATGGGAATGCACAGTAAGAACGGATCTCTCGAAATTCCCCAGCGGGGGGAAAGATGCAGAGCATTAAGACTTAACCTGAAGAACGACTTTTGAAATTGATAACATTTCAGACATTGTTATAAATATTTTCATATGTTTCGATTTTTTAACCAAATGTTCGAACCGTTTTAAATTCGAATTTGTTATTGCGTATTGGTTCGATTATAGAACGATTGTAAACGTTCCAGAAAATTGATCAAATTGAAAACAGTTCGTTTGATTCTCAGCAATTCTCATCATTCTCAGCGGTAGGTGTTATATAACAATTACTATGGTTGTTGAAATACTGAATATAAATGGGGTTTGCTTGCAAAGCCTCCGCGGGCGAAGTCGCGGGTAACAGCTAGTTACATATAAAAGACTTCTCTCGGAAATAAAGCGAGACATTGAGTAACATGTAAAAAGAGTTGCAGTACCATATGAAACTGCTATAATAAATAACACCATTTTTATGATTGTATTCATCTCCGTGAACAGTGCAGCACAAGTATAAAAACAAGTCATGTAAATACCGTAGCCTTAAGTAATTGGAATGATGTATTCACGAATGCCATTAAATTATTCAATTTGATACACAAGTTCGGTGTGTTCATGTGATTCAAACTCGATTTTGAAAATTTTCATTTCATTTGAATTTCGAATAAATGGCAAAACGTCTTTTGCACAACCCGATCAGTGATGGTAATTTGCGAAAAGACTAGCAATGACTGTTACGTCTGTAATTAATGACACAGATGAAGTAGTCACTACCAACGCAGAAACAAATGAAGTTTTAATAGGCAAGGAAGGCACACATGACATGGATAAGTTTTTCTCCAGCTGCGAAGTTTTCAACAGAAAAATCAACGGAAATACAGATATCGGTATTTCCAGCTTTTCTAGGCTTCAGTATTTTTAATTATCCTTTCGAACTAAGCTAAACTGACTTTCTGGTGTACGAAGTATCTGCTAGCGGTATAAAGAAGCACACGGAGAATCTGTGTAACGAAGAAAATATACCGGCACAGGAAACAAAGTGTGTCATCGCCTATGTAGATTATGCTATATATTTGAAAGAGAACAGTAGTAGTTCAAGTTCTTACGCAAAGAACGGTTATTTAGAAACAATATATCATGGGATGACGGCTAATGCTTTTCTGTTTACATCGGAAAATCTGATTACGAGACTGCAATTGAAAAATTTGAGAAGTTGAAGAGTTTGAAACCCAAGATGACACAGAAGAAATGTTTTGTGTATATTTTTCATTGTATGCGCGTGAAATGCGGCGATACTTCAATTCAGACTTTCAGAGAAGCGTTTTCTTCTGTCACCTCTGTTATTATGAAGCATTTGCCCATTTTTATATTAATTAACCCAATTGGAAAACGATGGTTTTCTTGACGAGAAGGAAACGTATTCTGGGATGACTTCTGAAATAAAGGTAAAAGTTCCGGTTCTTATTTTTCTTTAAACTGCAGTTGATAAGTCGTAGACCCGTAATCTGATTTAAAAGATCATTAAAGACAATAGAAAACACTTGAATTTTGTAAAGTGTTTCCTTCTCATTAAAAATAAACCTATCTCTATATTTAAGTTATTTAAAAACACTAAAATTTACCCATACGCTGTCTATTTATGGTTCAAGTTTTATTATTTGCAATCGCAAGTGTGAATTTTCGGTAGACAAATTACCTTATTTTTAGTAAGAATTAACAAATTTTTATGCTAAATTTTACTAAATTTTAACATTTCTTTGCATGATTATAGCGCAAAATACTTGAAATAAGATAAAGATTCGATCTGTTTTCTTTTAGTTTATTTTATATATATATAAAGTCAACACACTCAATGTCGTCATTTCCAGTGAAGTTTGAGATATCCTCGTAAATATTTAAATAATTTCTAAACCGACAGACAGTCACAATCCTAATCGTGTCTGTCTGTCGGTCTGTCTGCAGTTATCTAGTTTACTAGACAACTGCATTGATACTAAATAAAAATAAAAATAACATATTTCAAATTTAAAAACAAATGTCCATTTATTTATGTTACGACAGTTTCAGTATGATAAATTTAAACTGTTGATTTGAAATATTTCTACAATCAATAAATCAAAATAATGTTCACAAAAAGTATACTTACTTACATAAAACGTATTACATAATATTCTATGTAATACTTGAATAAGTTTTAAAGCAAGATTTAAGAATATAGTCAAAATATATTTGAACAAAACAATTCATTCATTTAAATATATAAAACAAATATATTATTTATTATTTTTTACGGGTCGATGATATATTGTTTCTGTAAAACCTTCCAATTTTGCAGCGAACCGTGCTACAGTGAATAAATAATCACTTAACCTGTACAAAATAGAAATTAAAATGAATAATTCTAATAAACTGAATGATTCTTCAATGTAAAAACAAACTTCTTACCTATTTATATATTTCAAAAGAGCTCCATCTATTTCTTCACATTTATATAATGGTATAATCCTTAAAAAATATATAATAAATATATATACTGTATGTATAAATTTTAGTATGAAATAGTTTTTAAATGTTTTAATATAGTTATATATCAATGCTATAAATATAACATAAATACATAAAAATTAGTATTAATTATATATATGAAGTCAATTAATTATAAACATGCAGATCTCTAAAATAAAAAATGGAATGCTCAAACTGAATCATATAGTAATCACAAATCATCTCTCTTCTATTATACTTTCTTAAGAGCATAACAGAAGAACTATTTTATTAATTTTCTTTTATTTTCTCTTATATAGAAGCAGTAACTTGATAGTTTTCATTAAATAATCCACCATTTCATCCATGAACATATAAGTATTGTCAATACTTTTCTAATATCTGTAAATATGACTAATAATAAGTTTCTTTGTTCGTAAGTTTTTTGCAGAAGTTTACTTTTACAAAACTGCACAATAATGCATCCATTGGTCATTAAACAATATGTAATAGTTATTGATAAATTTATTTATAATATAAACTATAATTTATTTACATTGATTAACAATAAATTAAAATGTCAACAAAACTAATTTTTTTAATACAAATAAAAGACAGTTGTTCTAAAAATTCTCAGATAATCACCATTTTATTTTTTGTCTGAGAATTTTTAGAACGACTGTCTTTTATTTGTATTAAAAAAATTTTTTCATCTGACGGGCATTCAAAAACTAATTTTATCAATCATTTCAGCTGTTGCTTTTCAATATGAAATTAATAGAAGTAAAAGAATATCATTATCAACAAAAAGCAAGCTATGCAATATACTTAATCAAAATAATAAATCATCAAATATTAAATATATAAAGAAATCAATTTTTCAGAAATATCTCAAATAATTTAAATGACTCAGAAAAGCTACATCATTTTATTAAATGTAATTTGACAAAAAAAAATCATATTTTAAATTGTTTTAATACAGTATTCTTTATTAAATCAATTACACAATTTAATAATATTAAATAACTAATATTATTAAATTGTGTATACTTAATAACTAATATAAAAAATCAAGAATTATCAAAAGCTATTAAAAGCTTTTGATAATTCTTGATTTTTTATATTTCAATATTTTTGTGGTTTTTTTTCTTTATGCATCACAAATACATATCAGAGTTTTCAACATTTCTTCAAAACAAAACACTTACATTGTAAAAGAATCAGTTTTAAATATGAGTTATAACATTTTTTCAACTTTCCTCTTTTTCTGCATTAATAAAAATATAATCCTGTATAAAACAGAAAACTGATAAATCAGAAAATTCTGAATATCATCATCACTTTCCATTTTAAAAAACTTTACTGTAAAATGCCAAGAATAGCATTCAATTAAATGTTATTTTAATTTGTTTACATTGTCTTACGTATCTTATATGAAGTTGTTTTATTCGATGTAATACTCTGGATTTTGTATCTGTAATAATGAAACACAAGGATGGTAAATAATCCGGGACTGAATAGTTACAATCTAAAATTTAATCACATCATCATCTCTAATCAATTCAAAAACTCTAGTTTGGCTTTAGATTTACAAAGCTTCAACATCAACTTCCTATATGGCTTAGCCAACACCATACAAATTATATAAACAGAGGAAATAAACTGCATAAATTTATTTCCTTTATGCTTCATTTAAATTGAAATAAACAATTCTATGTCTCATTCAAATCAAACTAGGTAAGTCAGTTCTTCAATTCCCTATATCAAATTAAAATATTTCCCATAAACCAAACTTTAAGAGAAACATTTTAGTCTGTTAAAATTTGAACAAAACATTCCAGGCATCAAAACTGCATTCTATCAATCTTATATTCATAGAATTTACATACATACCCATGAAGATTATCTTTTAATAAAGTCCAAAAGTATTTGTATTTATGGGAAATATCTAAAGGAAGTAGATCCTTCAAAAAAAAAGAGAGATTAGTAGTTAATTCTGATGTTAAATTGGAGTAGTCCAGTTTAGTTTAGTATAAAAATAGGATAAGAATTATAAATCAAAACTCAACAACAATAATTAAATCTCTCAAATTGTAAATGGATTCTGTTAAATTAAACAAATTCACACCTTATTTTACCAGTAATTAGTTAACTTCAGATTTTCAATGTGATTCAATGACTGCCTGATGATGGATGTTAAATACATCCAAAAATGTGTAAGGTCTGAACTTCTCAGTTTTATTTTTGTTTTTCTTTTCATTAACTGTCATGAGAAGATTCTAGTGTAAGATTTCCTTTGCTATGAAAGGACACAAAGTGAGTAAAGAAATGTGTTTTAGATAAGTTAAGATGGAATTAAAATTCCTCTTCTTATATACGTAAGATGACAAAGAAACAGTGTTTTACTGCATTGAATGACAGTGAGGATATAGTTGGAAACCTTTCAACTATAGCTGCATCCTCTTGGAAATGGGCTGGAAAACATACATTCTCCCAATTACCAGGCTATCACTTGGAAAGTTATAATTAAACATATTGAGGAAATGGCATTAGAGTAGAAGAGGGTGTCTACTTCCTTTGACAACCTGAATTTGGGCTCTAAAACAAGACGGGGACCAATCAGGAAAAAAGTGGAATGTGATCAGAGCCAATAAATATATTGATTTCAAGTCAAAAAATCCTTTAATAACCCCAAGGACACAAGCCTTTCTCCTTCAGAAGAAACAACCATTTACCATGGGAGTTTTTCCTACCAAAAGGACTTCTCCTTACAACTTCACCTGTTGAGAAGATAAAGCATCTCTCTTTCCCCAGAAGATCACAAGCAGGTCATTTTTTCCACCAAAAGATTGACAGTTTTTTCCTTGAGATCAAATAGTGTACTATGTCTTCCTTATCTTTCTTGTGATTTCCAGAGAGAGAGATTAGAACATCTTTTCCTACTAAGACCACTCTGCTGAAAGATCAAATATCTTCAAGTGACTTTCCCAGATGAGCACAAATGAACTGTGTCTTCTTCCTCAAGATAGATTAGATTGCTCCTCTGAAAGATCAATTATCTACAGCACTCATTTCTCAGGGCTAGAATCTGAGTAACAAGGAACCAGTGCAGAATCAGAGCCAGAACCTGCCAGACAATGGAAAAACCTCAAGTGCTTGAGTACTGACTTTTTCTTCTGAACAGTTCCAAATCAGACAATACTTGTAAGTAAATTTATTTATAATAAACAGGATTCTAAATTGTAAACAGAGTCTTAGTCTCAGTGTCCACTGCCACCACCCATAGACAGCTTCTATCCTCATCAAATGTCACTGGTGAGAAACCCTAGTCTTTAACTGGGTACAGAATTTTCCAGACAAGGTGTTGTTAATTCTCATAAGTGTTAGAGTCTAAAGTTAATAAATTGCTGGAGAAATATGTGAAATTATTTAATTTAACAATGAAATTTAATCTATACTTAAATACTAGGATCAATTTACATTATGTTTTCCATACTAACTAAACACAGCTTATATTAACAGAAGTCTAGAATTTCTTATTAAAAAATATTTCAGTAACTAGAATATTAGAAATTATTTAATATGCTTTAAATGAATTAATTATTTAAAATTAATAAAAATGTGAGAAGCCGGGGTAGAGCGCCAAACTCTAAACCCCTTTGATCAGTGATGGATTGGCAAGATCTGCTCACGTTGTCACTATATGTCTGTACCAAATAGGAGGGATATAAATCGAGTGGGGAGGGTTTAGTGAGGTCGTCAATAAGACATTGGCAGCACACGAGTAAGAGCAACCATTTTAAAATTCAGAGGTTACATCCTCTGCAGCAGAGGATGTAACCTCGTAGGCTAATTATCCGGGGAGTCGCTTGGGACGACACATATTCCCTTCACAACATTATATAATAGATAGGAACTTGCTCGTGTTGGAGGAGATGATGCAAAGTAAAAAGTTAGCTCCTTGTAGAATGGTTGCCCCTGATGAATGGGTGCCTGGCCATTATATCCCCATCCAGTGTGGGAATTTAGTCAGGTGATCATTTGTTTGGCAGGAATGACACATCAAAGGTGTCATAGCTGGACAATGAAAATTAAACAAAGTCAATTTGAAGGTTTAGTATTTCCTTTGATTGTTTTTAGATTTCCTCCATGGACTAAGTTAAGTGTTAACTTTCTCACATTTTACAATTGATTGTTTTAACATATTTTCATTATTTTCATGGGTCGATGCGAGGGGGAAAGGACTTGTTGCTTCGAATAGTTATCTGTTGTCAGTTAAGTTAACATTCGATATTCTCCCCATTTTTAACTTCCGTGGGAAACAGACAAAAAAAGAAGGGTTTCTAAAACATGTCTTTTTGTTAAAAATTTATACAAAAAAAAACAACCCCTGCATTCTCAAAAAATATTAAAGCAAAAATAATTCTAATTACCTTCTTTCAGCTCTACGACAAATACTTCTTGCCATATGTAAATATGAACTTGCCTTGCCACCAGACTATTAAAAAAGTCATACCATTAATTATTGCAATGTAAATATATATATTTCCATATTATCCATTCAACAATTTATTTTTCAATTCACAAAATAATTACTTTTAAATAATCATGCATAGAAAGTTTATGGTTTGGAATCACATTATTATGATACAACTAACAGCAACATACATATAAATTGATTAGTAAACAAATACCCATGTTTTCAATAAACCAAAAATACCTCTTTTATATTAAATGAAAGGCTCATATTTTTGGAATGTTTATCATTCAATCATCAGACTATTGTAGTTAAAACAGCCTGATGATTTGATGACAAGTGTTTGTTTGTTTACTAATCAATAAACTACAATTGTCTGATGGAACAATGAACATTCTGAAAATATAAACCTTTCACTTAATAAACATGTATCTCTGGTTTTTGGAAAACTTGAGCATTTATTCACTAATCAATTTATTCATATAAAGTAGTCAAATCCCCAAAATCAAAATATGTATAGTCAGCAATTGGTTGAAATATATAATATATAACATATCTTTTATGTATTTCATATTTCCTTTATATATTTCAGCAATTAACTTTCAAAAAATTGATTTAAAAAATGGAAGAAACTTCCAATAGTGTTCATTAAAATTATTGGAATATTAAACATTTTCATAAACTTTCCAAATGTTTTAATTTTTTGTAATAATCTTCAAGTGTTAAATGCATTAAAAATAAATGAAAATCAAGAAGAAAGTACAAACATTTTGTCCAAATTTCTTAAAAGAAAATCCATCACTTTAATTACTTTTATTGAAGCTGCCAGAAGTTTGCATCTCATATTAATTTCACATTTTTTTTCTCTTTTATATAACTATTTTGATAATATATCAGCTATGTTTAAAAGGAAGATATTTTCACAGATTTTTTAAAATCAACAGAAGTAAGAGGAAAGTAAAAAAGTAAAAGTAAAGAATATTGTAAGACATTAATGATATTACTTGTGAATTGAACTTTTTAGATAATCAGAGAAGAATTAATAAAGCAATTATATTGGGTCATCATGAGAGTCAGAAGGAATTTCTGATATGAAAAGTAAAATTGTGAATTCTGCTTGGATGATTTTATTTTGACAAAAATTGTTAAAGCAGAGAACACCATATAATGAACACATTTCAAAATCTTCTGGTAAAACTCCTTTTACTTCAAACTCTGGTCATTCATATTGTGGCATATGAGATCAAAAACATCCATTTGAGGACAGGTTGAGAACAATAACTCTAACTATGAGCATTATCATCTTCCATAATTATGACATGGGACAAGTTCCCAGATTCTGCATTTTCTCATTAACTGAGTTATTTATGAAGAAACTTTGCAGCTGTTTTTATGTCAACGTTGCTACTTTTTTTATTTATTAATATAATATATTAACCAGAAAAACATATCTTTGTTACACCAACAAATTTAACTTTAATTCATTAAATGAATGTTTTCAATCATTATTTAATGGTCACCTTCAAGTCACTTATGTCCATGATGAGCATTGAATGACCAAAGGATATATTTATTTGTAGAACTGCCAAGTTCCAATTTGAGTTTTACATAGTTAATTATTTCCAACTTTGTACTCCTTATCTACAGATTTACATTAAAAACTAACACCCATTAATTAAAAGTCAAAGTTTTAAACTTAGCTTTCCTTTCCAACAGTTTTTTGCAGCTGTTTGATAAGTGTTTTGCATGCTAATTTCTTGTAACACTGTCATGAACATGACAGATTGTGGTGCCATTATAAGCAGTTTACAATGTAAATACAAAATGAAAAAATTGTCATACACTTTTAGTTTTCCCATGTGTTATTAAATAATTTTATTTCTAACTGCATTTTATTTGCAACTTGTAAAGTCATAGCTATCATTTTTCATTAATCTCCATTAGAGAATTCTCTTTATATCAAACACTCAAAATAATGGTTCCCTCAAATTTATTAATTAGAAAATTTCCTGTAATTTGAATGGAAGAAAGCAGTTTCAAACGTACAAAGATTTGTATTTGATAATAGTATATGGGAGACATTTAGGCAATCAAGCACAAGAGTAATACTTTAATTTCTAACAAGTTCTAGTTCTGATTTTTCCCTCCATATGGAAAAATGTTATTTTACTTATTGTGGATTAGTATTTGTATTCTAATTATGAAGAGAAAACAAGTTTAGATGATTTTCTGGAATGAAAATCAGAAAGTAAAATTTATATCTGCATTGTTTTCCAATGCAGATATAAATTGAGAATCTTTGCAATTTAATTCAGTTAATAAAATGAATAATTTTGTTTTAACACTGTCTGATCACCTTAAATTTATACAAAATTTATTATAATACAGTAGAATCTCATTTTAATTGATTGATTGGGCTGCTAAAAATCATCTTTTGTTCTGGGAATCCATTATATCACAAACAATGGATTTCATACACACCCAGGATGATATCCATTATTTAACCCTCTAAGTAGACCTATAAGAAATACAGTACCTGTACTTGAAATTATTCAGTCTCTTGATTAATTAAAATATTGATTTTTCTGATCTCTCAAATTTAACAAATCTCATTATATCTATGTTCCATCTCCAATTTAAAGAATTATTTATCAACAGAAAAAAAGAATTAGAAAATAATTGTCATAATAATCTAATGATTAATAAGCCAGAGTTATTATCCAACTAGTAACAATCAGCAAAAATTACAAAATGCATATAAATTTTGCTATTTTATTGAAGGTATATAATGTTCTTTCAGATGGATTGACAAATTTTCAAATTCTTCAATCAACTTTAGTTAAGCAGTTTCTATTATATATATAAAAATTGTTTGACTAAAACAGTATGAAAGAAAATGAAAATTTATATCATTAAAATAAATAATTTATAATTTAAGTTATTGAAATACTCAAATAATCATAGAACTTCACTGAAAACTTACTGGTAATATGAAATTCTTTAATGGTGGTAAATGCTCTGTATGAGTGTCAATCCATTGCTCTAATTCTTGAATTAATTCCTTGTCAAATTCTGTTCTTTCTGAAATAGTAAATCTTAAAAACTTAAAAAAAATCATCCAGAAACATTAGTATAAAAACTAACTACTAGTCACCTATTAGTAAATAACCAAAAGCATTTTCATAACTCATTAAATTATCCAGTTCCAAATAACAAATTTTACTCATGAATATTTCAACTGAAAATTTTATGATTATACTTTCTTAACAACTTTGAATCGAAGCGCATTCCATTAGGGGATCGTTACTTGAAGAACTGTAATAATTCGAAAATGTTTGTAACTTTGTTGTATAGTGTGATGAAATGTGCACCAGTAAAAGGCTTATAGATACGTCATTTTTACAATACTCCAGTGTAGATATTCTACCATTTTTTATGATTATATTTCAAATAAGAAAAGCATAAACAGTTTCTTCTATTTAAAAAACATGACCTAAAATTCAGCACATGCAAAAATATCAATACAAATGTGAACCGCCGGGGAGGTCGGGGTCAGACGCACCTCCCTGTTCGGCAACAGGTCGTTAAACCTGCTCACTTGTCAAGATGGCTATTACTGGTCCCTAGGGTTGGGACTCTCAAATGTAGGTCGAGTGGAGGGAGAGATTTTGGGGTCGACGATAAGGTGAAGGCTGTATACGAGTAAAGAAGTCTACCATTTTAACAAATAAAACAAGAATTTATTAAAATGAATCAAATTAACAAAACTACAACACAAATCTCGACATTAAACCACCTAAGAGCTCGCGAGAGAGCACGCTTTTTCATACCTCTTTGTAGGTTTCCTTGACAATTTAGTCCATGTAGGCACATAAATGTCCAATAAAAAGTGTCTTTGATCAAAATGAGCACAAATATAGAAGTTTGAAACTCTGGCGACGAATAGATATCGATGTTAGCGGATCGGAATTTTGGCGGGTTCAGAGATTCGACTTGATGTCATCAGTCCGGCTTTCATTAAGAGACTCCCCCAAGAGGGGGTAAGAACTGTCTTTTATAGCTTTTTGCAGGGAAATTCCATCACATGATCGAATGTTCTATGGGCTAAAGGTTATAGGTGTTCCAGGGACCTAAACAAGTGACAAAATTTGGATGCTAACTATAAACTGTTGTGCAAGTTGAGCTGCAAGTTATGCGAGAACAATAAAATGTTGATAGTTATGACAGGAAGGTTTACACATTCTCAGCTAAGATCGTTTTTTTCTTCCAATACATTATATAAACGAAAGTGAACTAATTAAAATTTTAGTTAATAGAATTCTGGATCTCACACAAACATAACATTGCTAAATATACAGAAAGATAAAGATTCAAAGAAAATTCATCAAAAGAAGACACATAAAGCCAATATATTTTAAATTGTGACTTTTATAGGAAATTTATCTACACATATTATCAGAAAATTAAGTGATATTTTTATTCATAAGTCATTTAGCCATTTTGTATAAATTGATTAATATCTTGCATACTATGAAATCTGTAAGGAAAACTTAAAGATTCCTTAATAGAATTAATCTGCTAAAACACAAAATAAATACAAAGGAAACATCCAAAACACTCAGATATGTAATTCTTTTGCTCTAAATCTTTGACATATCTTTGAATGGCCATGCAGTTTAACTTGTGTTTATTTTAGATAATACTGACTTATTAAGTACAAATTAAAAAAAGAGAGAATTCATAATTATAAGTAATGACTATTTACAAAAATATTTAAATTGTCTTAACTTCTAATTTGAAGAAAATATCCTGAGTTCATTATGAAAATTGTAACTATATGCAAATGAAAAGATAACTTGTATCCACCACTAGAGGGATAGAACTTGATACAAATTGGATAAAAACTTGATAGTAGGATGAGAATATTTACTTATTATTTTTAATGTTAAAGTGTCAGATCCTCAAACAAAAGGCTGACGTTTGATCGTTTTTAATAATGTGAAATTTTTACTTATTGTTATTTGTTTTTTAATGAAGTTATTTCTTCAAACCAATATAATGGGTATTTCTGTGGTTGTGTTAAAAGGATTAATGGATAGACTGAAAATTAAATATTTTTGTAAATAGTCTTAACTTCTAATTTGAAGAAAATATCCTGAGTTCATCATGAAAACAATACAACTAAGTAAGAATGGATAATAATTGTAACTACTTGTTTTTAAATGATAGTTAATTAAAATAATATATTTCTAGAAAAATGATATATACTATTTTAATTAACTATCATTTAAAGGCAAACAGTTTTTCCTTATCATTGGATTCATTAATGTAAATTTAATCTTAATTTTTATAAAATATTTTATGAAATTAGTTTTTAATTCATACCAAGATGTGCTGTTCTTGCTGTACTTTTCGGTGTTGCTACAGATGAAGCCAAATCTTGTAATGTACATTGAACCTATAAAATATATATATATATATATCAAAAATGAATTTAATATCAAATATATACATACATATGCAATGCACTTAGAGTAGTAATAACAATTTTCTTCACATATAATAATATATAATGAAGTGTCAAATTATCAGGCCATTCTATGACAGATTAGATATTAATGATTAAAAACTATAAAAATTGAAGACAAAAACTGCCCAAAAAGGGAGCACCATTTATTCTTTGTGTTCCAAGATTATACACTTTGTCATCAATTTTTATTAAACAATAATTCTCCATTGGACGAAAAATTACAGATTAGAAACTAATTAGATTATCTATATGTAGGTGGTTAAGCTGTCATCTCATGTTAATTTTAATAATTACAATAAATTAACCATAAATTTTTATATCAACTGGATAGATTACAATCAAAAAAACCACACCAACAAATCCAGCAATGAAATTTACTAAATAATAATGTTTTTGACCAGTTTAACTGATCGTCTTCAGTTACGATAAAATAGAATGTGAACATATAACACTATTTTCAAATTCTATTTTATCAAACTAATTACAGTGGGCGATCGGTTAACGAACACTTTCGCGAAAGATTTTTATGTTCAGACAACGAACACATGATCGGATAACGAACACCTCACAGAACAAACACAAGAAGAAGCAACATAAAATAATGAATACCGATTGGTTTTCCCTTGTCTTCAGATAACAATTCAAAACTTTTTGGAGTGCAGGAGATGTCGACATTGACAATCAACCCGATATATACTGATCGGATAGTATTCCTCCGAACTTTGAAACTCTCCCTTGTAATTCCAGCCTTTTATTTTTCTGACAGAAACAATTTTTTTATAGTATTTTCGAGACTGTCAGGCAGGCACTCATTAAGCTTTGCATCAGTTTCTATTTTCGAAAGGTGAGAGTATAATAGCAAAGCAGAAGATGTCTGTTGTTGCGCGCAGTATGGCTTGAGCAGGTCTACAGTAGGCCGCAGTTCAATCTTATCTAAGAAAGATACTGTATTATCAAGAAGACTCAAGCAGCTTAAGGAGTAACAAAAAATCACATCTGAGAAATAAAGAACATTGAAGAGCTCATAATGGAACCTAAAATGGATCTGATGACAGAAGAACGCCAAGAACTCTTGAATGAAGACCACCAAGAAACTCGGCAAGATATGTTTTCTTCTGAAAAAGAGAATTAATGTCGATATCTGCTATTAAACATTTTTTTGAAGAAGTGGGATGATGTCAGAATGACAGTCTTAGAATGGCATCCAAACCAGGTTGAGGTTAATGGACTTAGGGATCTCTACAATTACAATGCTATTAATTACTCTGAAAAATCATGACTAATAAAAATGTAAGACTGTTGTGAGGGGCTGGCCGGGGGTACAGAGTTCGTAAAACTCGTGTACCGCTTACTGAACAGCTAATTGTGAGAGTAGCCCTCGGTTGTCTAAAAGGATAGTTTTCTATTAATGATATCGAGTGTGGAGGGACTTACATTGCTAATAAAAAGAAGGAGACAATGATTTCACAATTGTGTCTCCTGTCAGGTTCCTGACACCAGTTAATCTTATTTTAACACGAATTAACATGCGCAACCACGGAATTGTGAGTATAAGGAACACAAGTATTTTGAATAGGCAGAGATGTGAATATTAATCATTAAAAGAGCCATATTTAAAATAACAAACAAAAATGTTTAATGAACAAAATATCTAAATAATATACAATAAAAATGGATTATAAAATATCTATAGAGGAGAAGGTGGTATTATGGAACACTGCAGGTATTATGGAACCACCCCATTTCGAACTGATAATAAAGGCGAACTGTAGCGGAATGTGGCTGAACTGAACTAGGCAGACATCCATAGCAAGGGGAAAACCCGTTTTACTTCAGTTAAACAGTTGTCCGTATTTAATCAGCAAATTTGTTTTTTTCAAAATTCACAAGTTTTGAATGCTAAGTGAATTTAATTATTTTTAAAATATAAATCGT